TCTGTTTTCAACCCCTGGGGTCACATCCCAATCTGGGGTCACCATGGGATCTGGTCTGGCGGGCACATGTCGGATGGTGTACCAGACCCCTCCGTTAGATGGCGGTCGAGGTAAAGACGTCGTACAGTTTAGCTGCATACAGAAAAAAAGTCAACTGTTTAGTCATTTCAAGAATCGAAAGCTAACAGTCACCAGAGAAAGCTGTTTAGTCAATGCATGATATAGGGGAAAAGCTAAATTAGCTGCAGATAAGCTTCACAATATAACGGACCCTAACACCCCCCCCCCCTCACACACACACACACAAATAATGATTTTTAAAAGTTGTATTTTAAACGCAGTTTATTTCAATATATTTTTAACCATCGCCACCATAAAGCAATGGATCACGAACTGCTCCTCCCCACAACGCTTAACGTCAAAAGTGAAAGTTTGTGATATTGGTGATGATGTTGATGAATGACAACAATTTCTCAATTATATGTGTAAAAATGTGTGGACGTGAAATTATGACTGGCTGAGGGACGTATGGATGTTAAATGTTGAATTAAGAATCACATAGGCGCTCTGTCCACATTTTCAGCAGTAAACGCAAAGTCCTAATTTTGATGGCACCAGTAACAGTTTTATTGTGGATAAGTCTGGCCCTTCCCTTAAATTGTTGAGCGTCGGCCAAATTCCCTGATCGCTCGTCAACTTGATATATTTTTTTTAAAAAGAAATTTCTTGGCAATGTTCACTGGCTGTCAAAGGACCGTTACAACATCTAGTTTGTCCAGCATCAGTTCACCACCAAGTTGCGCAGAAAAAGCCTGTCGAACTGCATGTTGATTCCCCAAAATACCGACATTACTTGGTTAGATCATTACGGTCTGAGGAAAATGGCACTGTGAGGAGTTACCAGGGAATCAGGCCGGCGCTCAACACTCAGTGGAAAGGCGAGACGGATATACAATCAGACAGTTACTGGTACCATCGGTATTTTAACTCTTCGCTTGCTGCTGAAGATGGGGACGGAGCGCTTACGGAGGTGTCCCGAGTTCTGTGATGACGATTCCTAATTCAACATTCAACCTTCTACAGGACGCTTACACCCAGGACCTCTGAAGCGATGCTTGCCATTCTGAGCATGTCTGTATGTAGGGAGGGACGTAGAGACCGACAAGTAAATATAATCATCGTGTTGCGGGAAAAAGTTAGTATCTATACCTAAAACATATACGGGAGACGGAGCCCTCTGGGAGGCCTCTGTGAGTAGACTCTGAGTGCTGCGATGTTGATTCTTAAATCAATAATTGGCAAAACACTATTCTTTTTACTCACATTGTGTTACCACTTTTACATGTGGGAGTGTGCTACAGAGCCTGTGCACTGTGCTGAGCTTCTTCGGACTCAGACTTGAGTTAGAAGAAGAACGGAGCACTTATGGGTGACTACCTGTGTACCATGATGTTGATGCGTTGTTCAAACTTCAAAATGAGGGCTTTAACAACAAATAGAAAACGATAAATCAAAATAACCAAAAAAAAAAGGAAATTAAATATAACACCAACAAACAGATGCGAGATGAGATGTTTGAGAATGGCTGTGAATAAAACCCGAAGAGATTGAGTGAGAAACGACATGATCGCAAGAACTGTTGGAACAACACCCATCGTCAAACTTATTGAGAAACGAAGTATGAAATGGTTTGGCCATCTAATGAGAATGAAACCAACGATGCCAACAGCAAGAGCATAGAAACTGAAAATCTAAACACCAAGAGGCAGAGGAAGACCAAGAAGATATGGATTGATGGAGTCACTGACACATTGAGACTGCATAACACCACGGCATATCAAATGACTGAGCGCGCCCTTGCTCGGTTGCCGATCGTCTGATGAACTGGGAGGGCTAGCGGAGTAAGCAGATATTGACAAAAGAAAGAAGAAAGAGGACATGGAACAGAGCAGAGAACTCGTGCCTAGAGACTGAAGTTCAACCTCCATCGGAGAGACAGCACAGCGACAACAACAACAACAAACAAAAACGCTACGTACGTGACTGAATGGTCCTAATATGATGTGTGGGGTTCGCGTCATAGTGTTCCTGTTAAAGAAATACAACAAACAATGTTATATTACAAGAGTTATGTTATAAGTGTTCATCATTGTCCTCGACCTCACCATTATCATCGTCGTCATTATCATCATTATCATCATCATTATCATCATCATCATCATCATCATCATCATCATTGTATGGGTGTTGTTGGGTTACAAGACTCGGTTAACTGTCTGATCAGATCCCTTTACCTTTGGCAATCAATTGCGATGGACTTCAATGGTTGCATGCCTCTGACCTGTCCTGTCAGTCAGGTTCTGTAACCAAGTCTTTCCTTGTACACCTCTTGTCCTCTTCCCCTCTACTGAGCCCTGTATTATTGTTTTTGAGAGGAGTTCAGATTTGAATACATGATCGAACCATTACACTTCTCGCCTCTTCCCTGTAGGTTTCATAGTTGCCAATGTCTTTGCTCTCTAGGGGCACATAGCACCGCCATTGGTACCCGGGAGACGACATGACGCGTCTGGCGGTGCCAACTCCTCTCTCTCCAACTGATCGTTAGCTTGGGTACGGTTTCCTGTCTGTACTACGGGGAGGTGAGGTTGGCTTGTGCATTTATGGGTTAGCAGCAGGCTACCAGTTTTCGCTTTTCAACTCTCCTACAAATTGTGGGGACGACACCTTGTACTAGATTCTTCGAGCAACAGCAGATCAAGTTGTTTGGCCGTCTCTTAGAATGCAGCTAAATCAAATACCGTTAAAAGCACTTCATCTCAGAAGATGAGCTACAAGAGCAAGAGGACAGCCGATAAAATCATGGATTGACAACGTTAAAGACACTCTTGGGTGCAGACTGTTAGGTCCTCGCTTCTCAGGTTGATGGTCTCCTGCTTCGATGGAAAAACTCCTAATAAGTCGACTTTTAGAATATGCTTTTTTGGGGAGCATGGAACCTATTACCACCACCCATACCCCGCCCACAAAGGGTCCCTGGAAACCACACTGGGATCTTCTGTTTTATATGTTATATTAATTTTTTTTTTGTAATGGAACTCTCCAATGTCAGTTGAAGATGCGGAGCGACTGGGTATAGGAATGACCCGAGTGCTGTGATGTCGCTTTTTTTAAATTCAACTTATTTTGTGGTATGTTCTGCTTTCCTGAATTATATTATGTTGCGTTGTTATGATATGTTTTGTTATGTTTGACTTTAGTACGGTATTGTTTATTATATTATCAATGCTATGTTAACATACTGCATTATGTTTGAAAAAAAAAGGAATATAGGAGACAGTGAAGGGGAGAAGGGAAAAAAGAAGAGAAGGAGGAGCAGCAGCAGAAGGAGTAAGACGAAGAAGCAGCCGAAGCAGAAGAGAAATCATAAAAGTAATAAAAATAATAATATTAATACAATAAGAAGAGGAAGAGAAAGAAGAAGAAGAAGAAGAAGTAGAAGAAGAAGAAGAAGAAGAAAAAGAAGAAGAAGAAGAAGAAGAAGAAGAAGAAGAAGAAGAAGAAGAAGAAGAAGAAGAAGAAGAAGAAGAAGAAGAAGAAGAAGAAGAAGAAGAAGAAGAAGAAGAAGAAGAAGAGAAGAAGAAGAAGAAGAAGAAGAAGAAGAAGAAGAAGAAGAAGAAGAAGAAAAATTAACACTGAATATATGGATCTATTGATATGAGTATAATATCATTGGCTACTTTGCTCATAGCACATGATGATGATGGTGATTATGATGTTTAAAAATGCTTAAAACCAGGTAAAGATGACAACGTAGTGAAACAAACTGACTCTTTAAAACCAGGTAAAGATGACAACGTAGTGAAGCAAACTGAACCTACTTACTTTGAGAGATTGCCTATTTGGCTACCATCAACTGATGCAGAACTCGGGTATCTTCTCTTGGAAATTAACACCTCACCTTTGGTAAGGCTGTTCAACGCGCCCTGTGTCACAATGGAATCAACTTTAGAAGCATCCAACGGAGCAAACGTTGAGCCAAAGTTCTCCAGAGGATTAGAGGCGCAGGCGTGTTCTGCTTCAGGTCGAATCCAGGCAAGCTGACACTCCTGGGTAATTCTTGTTAAGGATGAACTGGTCTTGAATGCAGAAGAAGTTTCAGGGTCAGGGAGGGATGAGTTCGGTCTGGTCACCCCATTAGTTCTTGAAACGTTGGACTGAGTCTGGCAATTGGCTAGCGTTACCCAGAATTCCACCTGGCTTATGTTGTGGCAGATGGCGCAGAAAATATTTTTAAAATGGACTTGTGTGGCTATGTCCGTGACTGGGACCTTGTCTATGAGGTCAAGAGTTGAATCAGTCGTTTCACATCTAGAAGGAAAACAGATAGATAGATAGGAGGAAATATAAAAAAAAGAAAAGCATTAAGGAGAACATGATATCAGGCGTAGAGTTGAGTTTTTGAGAAGAAAAACGTTAAATATAAGAGGTGTAATTAGTAAGTATAGGCATTTATATCGTAGTCTGCGTGGAACAGTGTGCATGAATATTTTTTCTTTTGTTTTCAGAACACGTAATGTCCTTTGTAATACCCAAAGTACGTGCGACCACGATTTAGCAGTATGCGCATGCGCAACAGCTCGTACAAGATGGCCGCAGCACTGTTAATATGCACCGTGGATGAGCTTTTATTCGTTTTTTAATTTAATTTGATTTAATTTAAGAATCGACATCAAAACCCTCGGGGCATTCCCACAAGCGCTCCGTTCACATCTTCAGCAGCCGGCGAAGAGTTCCGATACTAATAGTACCAGTAGCATTCTGATTAAACGTCCGTCTTGCCTTTCCTCTGAGCCTCGAGCATCTGCCAGAACCTCTCGTCACTCCCTCCTGCATCAATCTCACCAGACTGTGGTGATCCATATTCTCCTCCGAACTGTACACACTCTCCCACAAGACACTAACCACGTCTGCCTTATCATGTATCAGTATTCCACCAAGTTGTGCAGAGCCAGCCAGTCTGTCCGCCTGTTCATTTCCCAACACACCGGCGTTTCTCTGCAGCGAAGCATGCCACTCTGCGCACGAAGCATACCTGTTATGATCTTCCTCAGCATGCTTTCTGAGTCAGTTACAATCACGATGTGTGTGTGTGTGTGTGTCGTGTTCTCTATCCAGCAGAAAGCTGCAGTGACCACCTCCACTTCCATTCTTAAGCTGGATGTTGTGGTGTCATATGCTAGGCTCTCCTGCACCAAACGTCGACCATTAAGTTTTGCTAAGAAGCTACAAGCACTTTTACCCCCTCTTGACACTGAACCGTCTGTGTAAATGATCAAATCCTCTGAGCGAGCATTATCTTGAATTAATTGCTGAATTTCCACCTCTGTGGCACCTGCTGGCCAGCCTCTGCATTCCCGGCTCAGCGTGATTATGACTCTACACAAGTCTGACTGGTGGCACTTTGACCCACTCCTCTCCTCGCCTAATGTTCTCAAGGATGCAAACCTGTCTGATTGTGTCTTCTGCCGGAGCCATCCATGACCTCCCTCTTTTCAGCCGCTGACCCTTAATTGCACCCAGAACTTAATGCAAAGGGTGGTCTGTGTGTGCAGCTACCCTGAGATATGACTTTGCCTGCAGCACCTTGTGCCTACTTGCAACAGTCGGCAAACCAATGATGTATAGTTTTTGTGTAAGCAGAGTGTGTTAAACGGTCTCAAATCTATAGATAAATGAAAGTTCGATGCGGAGACGGCTACTTGTGTCAGAAAAAATTGTACGGGTTGACAGATTTCATTCGTTTCGATCATGGAAAGATCATTTACGGAGTCAGTGATTTGCAGATGGCAAAGAGGTAATGTCGATGGTTTAAACTTGGTTACTAGCCACACTCAAAAGCTTCTACGTAACGGACATCCACAATCTTGTGGATCCGTGGACTATATGTGTTGCAAGGTAGCAAGACTATATAGAGAATTGAAATACAGAACAACAGTGTTTTGATAGATTGTAAATAATTGAAAAAAGACTTATTAATCCAACCGCCTTTACCTAATGAATCAGTCTCTCTCCGCAAAGCGGCTATTCGCCTGAGAGGGTCACACAAAGCACGTACACCTTAGCTCTGACGAAGACTCCAATAGGTCTCTGCAAAAAACTGCATTCCTGAACCAAACGACGCATCGGTGAAACGAACCCACGACTTTCAGAACGGGAGGCAAACGGTTTGACCACTTCGCCACAGAGAGACTGCCTTGATGAAATATAATATAATAAAATAACTGACCCTTTTGCACGCCTTAAGGGGTATAGGGCATACAGGGCAAGACCTTTATTTATAGACCAATTGGTACTTGGTGGGTGAGGAAGACAACACAAACGCCGGCCGCCTTTACTTCCCAGGACCTTTACACTGTACCCATTTTTGGTTGGGTTGACCTCTGGGGTCAAGATAGTTTTGAAAAAGTCCGGCTCCGCAGCTAGGGTCTAGCTGGTATTAGAAATTAGATGCGTATCCTTTACAGGACGTTGCAGAACCAACCCCAGCATTTTCTGGCTGTTGTGGTTTTTCTAGGGACCAGGCCACCATCTTCAGACTCAGAACACAACATACTCCACTCAATGGACACCTAAACAGAATACAGCCACAACACTCCCCAGAGTGCCAGCTATGTAACTACCCCTAGGAAACTGTTGAACACCATTTCTTTGAGTGCCCAAAACTCAACGAGACTAGAAGAATGCTACTCCCTCCGAGACTAGACCAGTGGAACACCTTGTACGGAGGAAAAGAACAGCTTGTGAAAACATGTAAATTCCACAACATGGCATTGGGCCAAAGGGCGAAAGCTAATGCGCCGCTGGATTAATAACAACAACAACAACAACTAGGCACATTTACATCCAGCAGTTTGCCATTGCTCCCTGGACGGTTGGCTCTCGGTACCACTGTCGAAACCAGCGCAAGACAAACCGTCCGCAGCAGGGATCGAACCCGGCACCCCGGCATTCGCAACTCCTAAGCAACAGACACCGACAAGATATAGGTCTGTCATTTAAGCATAATTAATTAAAATACCTTTTTGATAATTGACTCTCTTCTAGATCTCTGTCCACGTACTGGAACCACCAACGGTTGTGTCCAGTCTGGTTGCGGTCAGTAACTGACCTGTCTGGCCAAGCCTTCATGCCTTCCCACTGGCTGCTGCTGAACTCAGCTGGACACGACGACACAAAGAAGTGACCATCTCTACATTGAGTTTCCGAAGATTTTAACTGGCCCAGCATCTGAGAATCTTGACCAGCGTCAAGCGGACAGTGGTCATCGATATCTTCACAACAGGTGCCGTAAATTGTGCAGGTCTGGTGACAAGAGCAGGAACCACTGGTTGCAGAAGAGCAGCGATCTTTACAGCTGTTGTAGTTCACGGAACATAAGCTACCATCAAATTTAGGGTAACTAACTTTTGAATTTTGTCGCCGGAGAGAAGAATTCATAGCTTTTGAGCTAGTAGACAATGTCGGTTTTATTTCCTTCAGCGTCTGATTCACGACCTTTCCATTTTTGAATATCGAAATCACATCCATACTTGAATAATTTTTGGGAGTGTTTTCAGATTTATTTGGCTGCGCTACAAACTGAGACGCATTCTTTAAATTTATTGCATTGCCAAATTTAGGCAGTGACTCTGAACGTTCTGATGTTCTGTTTGCCAGCGATGTATTGACGATTTGTAATAGTTTGTTGCCAGTGATACCTCCTGGGAAAAGTTTGTGTTCAATTTTAACCGCCGAAGATGTTAAATTTAATTCCTTTTCTGGTTCCAGTTTGGTAACAGTTTGAGAACCATCGCAAAGTCCAATAGCAAGGGCCGATAAGCAGGAGAGGATTATGAGACAATTCTGGACGTGGATTGTCTTTCTTGATAGCAACTCTGGTCTCTGAAGCATTGTTTGAATCTAAGTGGACAATAGAACATTTGCAATCAAAATGAGGTAAATGAATATGAGAAGTAAAAGCGGTCGGTGTGATTTTCATCACATCCCCCGTCGACACCCAATTGTTTTTTAAACGTGAGTTTATATATATATATATATATATATATATATATATATATATATATATATATATATATATATATATATATATATATATATATATATATATATATATATATATATATATAGGATCAGCCATCGGATAGCTGATGAAAACGGTTGAATGATTTAACTTTTTACCGATTTTTGATTTCTAGAAGATAACAGTAGGCGTATATTTACCGGCTGTTGCATGCGCAATGTTAAGAATCGACATCACAGCACTCGGGATCACTCACATAAGCGATCTGTCACTGTCCCCATCTTCAGCAGCAAAGGCAGAGTTACAGTTCCAAGAATGCAAGTACTAATCTAATTGTATGTCCACCTTGCTCTTACCTTAAGTGTTGAGTGTCCATCTGATCGTTTGAATACTTCTCGCTCCACCCTTCTCTTCAGACAGCGGGATGCCTAATTTATGACCATGATCATGTAGCAGGTCTTTTGCAGAATGTCGCTCTCAACGTGATCTCCACGAAAGAAACTTGGTCCCTCGCCAGCTCTCCCGCCTCATGTACTTTCATATTCAAGGAGTCACTTATATCCTGTGCCCATCTTCGTGTTGGTCGGAACCTGCCCCTCCTTCCTGGTACCATGCTTTCTGTTGTTATTTTTTACAATCCGCCAATGCGCTGGATGTAACCAAAATATTTCAACTTCCGAGACAAGATGCAGTTTATTAGCCAGCCTTGCGTGTTATTCACAACTGTTAAAATGTCAGTATTTCTTTCTTTCTTTTTTTTTTTTTTTTTTTTTTCTATGATAATGTCAGAATCTTTCTATTGCATTTCAGCTCGAAAATTCCTAATTACTTTCTTAAGGACTAGGATGTATGTAAGTTGTACCCCCCCCCCCTTCCCCAGGATGTCACACAAGCGATGAACACTGGGTGACACACAGTGCCACCATGCTGATAAGGATCACCCGGAAAGAGATTCAGACACCCCGTTCAGCCGTTAGGCCATATTTATGACCGGGCTATATTTAGGGCCCCAGGCAAAAGCCAGGGTTGAGCTTCAAAAAACGAAAAATTGCATCCCTCATGGGGACATCCATGATACTTAGGACTGGAAGATAGTCCACGACTCCTATCCGTGAGTGGCCACACAGAAGATGCATGCTCTCAGAACTTTAATTTTGATTTTGTTGCTGCCCAAGCGAAATTTAGGACCAGCGGGTGTTTAAAAACAAAATTTTGTTGTTGTTGCTTTACTAGGCAGTGTTACGATATTCAATAGCTTGTCATGGCTCTGAACGGTAAGACACTCACATCTTTGTCAAATCAGCACAAAGCAGGCATCTAAAATATTGACTGACTGACTTTCTACCCCACCAGAACATCACACAAGCGATAAACACCCGATGACACATTGTGCCACCAAGTGGCTATGGATCTCTATATTTTTGGCCAGGCTATATTGCGGCCTCCAGCAAGAGCCAGAGTAGGGCTTCAAATAACGAAAAATTTCATCCTAAAAAGGACGGAAACTTTATGGAATGTAATGAACAATGTTTTTACAATATTAAAAGCAGGTGGATTCAACCATGGGACGCCACAATTGTAAAATTGCATTTATATCTACTAAACACCAAACGCCAGCTGTATAATTAAATATACATAAATATATCCAGTACTTATCTTGTCCTGACATAAACCTGAAAATTGTTCACAATTTATATTTGGTGAAAAAAGTATCTGAAAATTCAGACACGGTCGAGCAACCAAGAGAACTCTTTAGATGAGAACAAATCTTTCTGGGTTGTGTCCCTTGAAAGCTTGAGGTAATTTTAATTTAAACACGGTGTGTGTTTGTTTGACCTTTCCAGAAAAACTTAATTATGACAATCTTTACACAAGCGTTGCTGTGACAACAAGACATTATTTAATTACATACCATGGGGAGGCTTACAAGGAAATTTGAAACTGGATGGCCAGAGAAGATTGAAAAGTCTACAAAGCTTTGATGTAATAACGCATTTGAGTGGTAGAATTTTTTTTTTTTTTTTAAATTTATAATTGTGAACAGTCACACGGTATTCTCATCCTCGCAGATTTGGACCTAAGTCACGGTCATGCCGAGTCTTCAATAACTCCCATGGTCTTATTAGGAAATATGGCTTCAATTTCTGCAGACGTTGTTTCAGTCAGTATTCAGATGACATTGGATTCAAAAAGCTTGACTGAACTCAGCTTATGATTTCTGTTATGAAAGTGTCCACACTTGATTAGCTATTTCAATAAATGGGTGTGTTCAACTATTTAAAAAAACCAAAAAAAAAAAAAAAAAAAAAAAAAAAAAAACATCATGAGTTGTTGGCAATGAAAGAGCTGACAGATTAGCCGGCTCTGTCTTGGTTACAGAGAGCCGGCCCATGGATCATGCAGACATTGTTAATGCGATTAGAGAGGTAGGACGTTCTGAGAATTTTAGGAGCGTCACTTCCACATCTTTGCTATTTGTACAACTATTGGGAGTAAAGATCGACACAGCCAGGCATGAGAAGCACACCGGACGAACGAGAAATCTTATCAACCAACATAAGACTGGGACTATCAACCGTGGGGCGATGATGTATAAGGTGACGGGAGAATCTGAACACCTATGGAAGTGTCCGGAGTGCCGTGAAGACAACCTAAATCATACCTGATAAGATCACAAGTCTTCGACTAAGAACAAGCTACTACAGACAGATCCGGACTTAGACCTGGCAAGGAATTAAGCTGTATAAAGTTTTGAAGCTCCTACCGTTTTAACTTACACCAGTTCTGGCGATGGATAGGACATACATTGAGAAAACATGGGAACAATACATTAGAATGTCTTTGTGCTGGAACAAACAGGGGTATAGAAATAAAGGAAGACCCAAAAACACATGGAAAAGGAAGCTAGAGAGGGAAGTTAGAAATATGAGAAGGACATGGGTAGAATTACATGCGACAGCGGAGGATATAACTATTTGGTGTTTGATGGTTGAGGGCCTATGCTCCACTGGAGGTTAGAAAGGCAGAAGAAGAAGCATCTTATAAAACTCTAAAATGTGCACGTCATTTAAATAAATGGATAATAGGAATATAATGTCGTTTAAGTTTTATTCAAAGAAATAATAAAGAACGTGTTAGCAAAATCACAAAAATTATAATATTTAAATTAATGAAAGGCAAAAAGTAACAATTTAAAACTTTTGTTTATCTTGATTTTCCTGGCCAAAACCGTTGATTAAAGTATCAAAGGAAATGAAGTGGTTTGGACACCTAACAAAAATGCCCTGGTACTATCCGCCACAGCGAGCTACACTAAAACGTTACAACGGGTATAAAGCGAGTGGAAGACCTCGGAAAATATGGAGTGAGGGAATTAAGAACAGCCTTACAGAAATGAACATCAGTCTTAATAGTGCTCTTGACAGAGCTCATCAACGAACATTACATCTCCCCCCCCCCCCCCCCCGACACCCCCGATGAGGTCAAGATGGATGAGGTACAAGGTGGAAGAGAGAAGAAGAAGATGCAGAAGAAGAAAACGGAAGAAGAACGAACATGAAGAAGAATTTGAAGACCTGAAGAAGAAGAAGAAGAAGAAAGACGAGAAGAAGAAGAAGAAGAAGAAGAAGAAGAAGAAGAAGAAGAAGAATCACCTAGATTGATTTCTATACTAAGATATTTAAGCCAAATGGCAAGGATTTAATCTTTTGACCAAAGAAAGGTCATAGGAAGATGACAGTCGGATATTGCAACACCACAGCACGGCCGGCGGTATCCGGTGTCGTCTTACTCGGTGCACGGGAATTATTTATACATTTAATTATATTTTGTTGTTTGTTGTTGTCTGCAACATTATATCATTATCTGACATTATCAACAACGGTTTTGCCGACCTACGATTACAACAATGCATCAGCTAACACATCTGCCAATAAAGAACACGAACAACTAAGCAGCCAACCTACCAACCAACAAATTCACAAAATAATTGTCAACCAACCTATCAGTCATAGGAAACCAACCAGCGACTTACCCAGTCATAGGTGTTGAAACAGTGGCTGGGGTCCATTGAATAAATGGGTGAATGAATGAACCAAGGATTGACATCACTGAAACACTCCTTTGTGCCACTAGACGTCACATGTTAACAGATGATTGGTATCCGAGCTAGGGCACGCTCGGTTGCCCGGTATGCTGGGATGTTGTGGGGTATCAGGGTATCACTGACTCCTTCAGTCCATCTGTTTCTTGGTCGTCCTCTAGGTCTGGGTGTTTCCTACTTGCATGTTGTACTCTCTCGTTTCTGGCCTCATGACTGACTTTCTACCCCACCAGGACATCACACAGGCGATAAACACCCGATGACACAATGTGCCACTATGCGGATGAGGATCACCCGTGGAGAGGTCCCAAAAAC